AAATCATTTGACTACAGATACAAATAGCAACACTGGTCAATGAACAAATCCTTTGGGCCACAATAATTAACCATCTTCAGTTCAATGTATTTGCAGACCAATGGAAGAACAGTACTGGCTTTGATAATGTTAAGTCATGTTTCATGTTGCTGCTAAAAAACTGTCAGAAGAGCAAACACGCCGTACAACAGAGCACAAGGATAAGCAACAAGAAGCTGCTGTGCGTCCATGGCAAGTACTGTTACAAACAGTTTTGATGCTGAAAGGCTGCACCAACCTATTGTTGTAGCTGTCAGCAGTGTCCCGAGGATCCCCCTGTGAAAAAATGGTGGTAAATTTGATCATCTTTTAGTAGCAATCAAGTGCCAAGTTTTGTCATCACAAACAAGAAATTCTGAATTTACTGGATTTAAACAGTATTTGAACTTCCTCAGTGAAAATTCTAGTACTTTACTTCCGTCAGTTGCACATACATGTATCCTGGGAGGTGCGGTGGCCTTATGCTTAGTGCGCTCGTCTCTGGATAGAGCGGTCTGGGTTCAAGCCCTGGCCGGGGACATTGTGTTGTGTTCTTGGGCAAGGCACTTTATTCTCACAGGGCCTCTCTCCACCCAGGTGTATAAATGGGTACCAGCAGACTTAATGCTGGGGGTAACCCTGCAATGGACTAATATCCCATCCAGGGGGGAATGGAAGTACTCCTAGTCACAGAAACTGGGATAAGCTCCGGCCTGATGGGCCACTTGGCTTGTATGCAGACTTTACCTTTACCTTACCTATTTCAGTCTAAAAATTAGCTAGTGATAAAGCAGTAAGGTTGAGATTTGGTCATTCACAAACCGTTTAATAATGTCTACCATTCCGCACACATTGCAGATCTATAATGCTAGATAATCAGTACTACACACAAGCCCTCTTACTTAGGGTCCATTCTTTCCCATTTTAAATGTACGGTAGTTAATATTTTGGCTCGAACATTAACTGTAACATCCTCTGGATCTTCATGTCTGTATCCTGATTTAAAATTTTGTACTGTACAAAATGTGGTCTTGTGGCTCAAAGAGAAATATATAAAAAAAACATCAAAAAATCTGGAACATTTTTGACTGGTCAAGGGTGCAAAGAAGACCAATTTTTGGACTTGCTTTTTATGAAAGCCCTTAAACTATGGTATACCAGCCAGAAACAATTGTCGCCAGCCCCCCCAAAAAATTTCATATCTCACAGTACTGTATTGATATAATTTGTACATTTTCTAAAAACAAAATTCCAAGAAGCTTCACTTTATTTATACACCTGGGTGGAGAGAGGCACTGTAAGAGACAAGTGTCTTCCCCAAGAACACAACACAATGTCTCTGGCCAGGGCTCGAACCTGGACAACTTAATCTGGAGGCAAGCGCACTAACCAAAAGGCCACTGTGCCTCTGACTGGGTCAATGCACCACCCAAACATTGGTGATAATAAAAAATACTCACTGTAAGGAGAGAAGTATGGAGACGCAGGACAAGATGACCATAGGAAGAAGACAGTAACCAAGAACACTAATAACACAACCAAAGGACACTCCAGTCATACTCATAAGATTGAGAATGGCGTACATAGATAAACAGCCTAGAAGACCAACTCCATAGATATAACCAAACCCATGAACCTTGCCTGACTAAAAGAAAAACAAAAATAATGACATTAAAAATTAGAACGTCAAGTTTTGCAACAGTTTAAAATCACTGTTAGTATTATTATATTTAATGTAGAAATGACATCAACTCGGAAAGACGGAGGCTGGTGGGTTCAAGTCCCATCTGGAACTCAGATTTTTTTCCGAGCTGAAGTCATTTCTACATTTAATATTTCTTATAAGACTCACTTTGGAGAGTATTATTATAATATTTTTTTTTGTGAAACTGGAGTGTCATTTTTCGAGGGAGGGGTGGCTACTTTTGGAGGTTGTTAAAAAAACATGAAATTATTTAATATATAGTTATCTACAGCTAGATACCAGCCAAAAAAAATTGAAATCCCTGAAATTGCCAATTTTACCTTCTTGACCCATAAAAAAAAACATTGTTAACACTAGAGCTTTGAACCAATTCAACCACAGAAATGCATCAAATGTTCCAAAATTTCCCCCGAAAATGCCAAAATTCAGCCAAAATAACCCTTTAAGCCCGGGAGAAAAACCTTATTTTTCTAAAATTATTACAGCAGATCGAAAACCCACAAGCAATATACCAGTTGAAAGGTATTGTTTGGGTATGTTCTATATCACCACAACAGACATAAAAGATGTCACAAATTGAATTGAGGAGTCCACAAAGTAAAAAATGAAAACGTTCAAAAATACCTTATTCCTTGTATATACTGGGTATACCCCTAAACAATAGCTTAATTTGCAGCTCTGGGCGTGCAGATTTTTATCACATATTCACTTGACCGTAAAATTGTAAAGCGTAAAAGTTTCAAAAACTTGAGGGGTGGTTAATCAAGTCTGATTCAGGAGGGGGGTATGATTTTATGCTTNTGATCCAGAAAACTTGAGATAATCCGGGAGAGTGGACGAAGATGTATCTAGGGAGGGTCATTAATGTTCTGGAATATACACTATGTCGATCTTGTATACACAGTTATGTACAATATTATTAGTATACACACATGTTCCTATATAACAGAGGAAAGGAGACGGCTCAAAAAAAAAAAGGCAAATTAAATAGCAAGAATCCTAAGGTAGCAAAATACCATTATCATCTGCTGTTTTTATGTTACTCTTATCTCTCACCAACAAGAGACATCCACCAAATGCTAGACAAAACACCAGTGGCCCAGCAAGGTCTGTGTCATCCATAATGTTAGCTTCTGTGTGTTGCAATGGATTTAACACAGACAGTGTCTACAACAAGAGAGAATAAACAGTTGGCTTTGTTGTAATAAAACAAAGGAGAGCCAGGCATGAGAACTGGTCCATTATATATATAGAGACAGAAGATTAGAAGAAATTTAGGCAAGGTGTTATTTTAACATTTTCAAACCAAAATTAAAGAAATAAGTGTCAAAGAATATGAGTTAATCTGCAGTAAATAAACTTATCTACATGTAGAAAAAATGGAGGGAAAGACAAGGGAAAACAGTAGGGCCGGTGTGAGTATTGTAAGTACAATGATCATGTAGTGTAAGTAGCCGTATTAGTAATTGTTAGAAGTATAAGTAGCAGCTGTTTTGTACATATTAAAAATGAACTCTCGGCAATTAATTTGTTAAAAGCAAAAGTAATGCAGAAGATTGGAACCATGCATAATGCATAAGAGCTGACAGGTATACAATGTTGAATTTGTTAGCATCATAAAAATAACTGCAGTAATAGATTGTCTCTATATATGATTCTATTATTTAATCAACTAATTACCGTTGCTTGCATCTAAGCGTGAACACGTGACGCTGAAGCACGCTCTGATTGGGTGTCAAACGTGGCATGATTGGTCATGAAACATTTGAAGTTTAGCAGACCATGACATTAACTTTCGTGTTCAAAGTTCAGCACACAAAATGGGAGAAAGATTGGACATTGAAGACTTCTTCAGAGAAATTGACCCCACCTGTGTCAATACACATACGCCTTTCACACAAGTAGTTTTACTTCTGGTATAACCATAAAATATTGGCGGGAACAAGGCTTTCAGAGTCTTTCAGAACGTGAAAGTTCCCATCACGGTCTGCTAAACTTCAAATGTTTGATAACCAATCATGCCATGTTTGACACCCAATCAGAGCATGTTTAGGTGTCAAGTGTTCACATTTAGATGTAAGCGACAGTAAACAGTGATTGTTAATCAATAAATTTAAAAGTTATTAACTAACAGCTTGTTTATTGCATGTACCTTTATTGCAAAGTTGGCAGTCTACCTCTGCCACTAAATTGGTAAAAAATAATAAAAACTCACCTTTTGCCATATATGTTCAAAATTGATTCCGAGCTCTGCAAAAAGTCACACAACACAGTCAACCTTTCAAGTTGTTAGTAATGGTAAGTTGGATAATTTTCAGTTAAAACTGGTGCAATTGTGTTACTTTTCCACCAAAATGAATCTTTAGTATAGTGAAATACTAAATAAGCTTTAAGTTTAAATAAAGCTTTAGATTTTGGGATTTTTTTTATCTTTCAGTTAGTTGTCACGTTTTCATACCTGTATGTCACTCAGACAAGATAAAAGAGCTTTATTAAAAAGCAAAACGAACTAAATTGGTGTTACAGTTCTATACAAAGCTACAAAATAGGTCGAAAGCAGTACTCGAACTCGAATGTTTTCCTTAGTAACGCCATGAATGCGAAAACATACGCTTATCGAATTTCCGTCACCCTATGCCACGTTGTTACCTTCCAAAAGTGGCGGCTCATCTTCAAAACTTGTGTAATCTTCGCTCGTTTGTCGCGGTCTCATGGATCCTTCTATTCCATAACCTCCACCACCACCTGACCTCATCGTTGTCGGACCTGAAGCACCGTAATCGTACGACAAATTACCGCCATATTCATACGAAGATGAGTCATAAAATCCTTGAGTATTTGTGGCTGGAGGATAGTTGTAAGTCGGCACTTGCTGTGCCGTTTGTCCATAATCTGAGTACTGTTGACTGTAACCGTATCCACCATACGGCTGTTCCTTCTGTTCAGCGTAAGCGTAGCCACTATCGAAAAAATCCTGATCAATGGAAACGCTGCTATCCGTGTTGAAGTTCGACATTTTTTCGCGATAGTGTCTTGTTGTTGTCTCTATGTCCAAGTAAGCTTGGTGACCACGCTTCAGCTCAAGCTCATAAGGCCTGGCTGCGAAGTTACAGGCTTACAAGTGCACGGAAGAGTTGAGGCCATCTTGTGAACGAAGTCTTTTCTTTTCGATGTTCCGCAGTCACGAGATGAGTAATTAATAAGAAGAAAAGACAACATGAATCGCAATCGTCTATCGTCAAATGTTTCTGAGAATTCGCCCACTGACGACAGACTGCAGAACGTTTTAGGAAGTTTCGACGATGAACAATCTCCCATCGTCGAAGGAAGTAATTTGCGCTTTTCGCGAAGTGCTGCAAGGAGCGATGTCTTTCTCGAAGAACCCGAAGCTGCTGCCCTGGCTCAATACGATGATTTTAACACCATCGATTGGGTTCGTGATCGGCAAAGAGAACGAAAACGTTTTCGAGAAATGAGAAGGATGAAGCGTGGAACTTTCTGGCAGCGACTCAGACAAGCGAACGATGCATGGGCTGGCTGGCTGATAGTCTTTCTTGTTGGCCTGGCTGCCGGTCTGTGCGCCGGAATCATAGACATTGGAACTACCTGGATGACAGATTTAAAGCTTGGCCTATGCCCGGAAAATCTCTGGTTTAATAAAGAATCGTGTTGCTGGTCGGACAACACAAGTTTTGAAGAAGTGGGTTGTAATCAGTGGAAGTCATGGGCTCAGATATTGACCCATTCTGACAGCGGAGCTGTAGCTTACGTCATTGACTATTTCCTCTACATTATTATTTCATTATTGTTCGGTTTGCTTGCTGTTACTCTTGTTCGATGGTTTGCGCCATATGCTTGTGGCAGTGGGATCCCTGAGGTGAGCCATCACAAAGTTGTGTGCAAGTTGATAAAGTTTCCAAATTACATTCAGCTCTTATTAACCGAGCAGAAGGTCTGTATGGGAGAATCTTGACTGAAGTCGTGAGTACTGACCAAACGAGTTAAGGGGAGTACACACAACCAAGGTCAAGATTCTCCTCTTAGGTGCAGGATGGTGATTTATCAAAATATCTTGATAGAATATCACTAGTTTGATTATTGATATTATGATATTTTATTGATATTTTGGTGATGATAGAATGATAATATCGAGAAATCATTTTTATCACAATGTGCATGTCAAATATCAAAATATTAATTATCATATGAGATTGTCATGATAAATAATAAGTGAAATGGTGACTTGGAGAAAGTGAAATAAAAAAAGACTCGAGAATGCGTATTCATTTATTATCATGATAGTTGCTCCATAATCTTCTCTTGCAAATTCTGTAATTGTCACTATCATAATCATTAACTTGAAAAAGTGGTAAATTGAGATATCAAAGTATCACTTTCAAATCATGAGAATAGCATGGAAGAGTATGAATAGATCAAAATAGCAAGCTATTTAATATCATGTATCACTCTCATTCTCAAATATCAGTCAAGTGACTTTATCATGTAACAAAGAAGATCAGACACTGACAGAGATTGATATATCATGACAATATCAAAATCGGTTAATTTCACTGCTGTTTGCTAGCCGTTAGCTGTTATTTGTTGTAAAGGGACAGCATTGTATTGTATCATGATTTATCACTTTATTACAGGAAAAAGAAGACATTCTTAATAATATATTCTGATAATATCGTGATTTATCACTCTATCTCACCTAGGTTTGATTCCTTTTGGGATTGCCTGTCACATTGTTCTTTTTACGTTGTTTTACTTCATAAAAAATTTCCGAGTCTTGCTGTCACTCATTTAGTCTATTTAAAACCTTGACCAGCTGCCAGCCATATAGCCACAGCAATTCAAATTGGTGTGAGAAAAAGAAAAAGTGAGGAATTCCGGTAGATGTAGTTAAAGGACACCATCGTACAAATTACCTCATGATATAAGTGGGTTACTGAAACACTTGGTCCAACATGATTCAACTGTTGATGTACGTGTATGCTAGATACAGTAAATCTGTAAGTATGTTTCGTTTTAATACTAGTACTTAATTTTCCTTGTGTATTTTTAGATCAAGACAATATTAAGTGGTTTCATCATTCGTGGTTACCTTGGGCGGTGGACACTGATCATTAAATCATTGTCGATGATGCTTGCTGTGTCTGCTGGTCTGAGTCTCGGAAAAGAAGGTCCTCTAGTTCATGTAGCAAGTTGTTGTGGAAACTTCTTCTCGTACGTGTTCGCCAAATATCACAAGAATGAAGCCAAGAAAAGAGAGGTGTGTTCCCTTGTGGCCTATCATTTCCTTATGTGCTTTCATGCTGTTACCTAGACCTGTCTGTAAACTTGGTTTATGTTGTTGTTAGGTTCTGTCAGCTGCTGCTGCAGCTGGTGTGTCTGTGGCTTTTGGAGCTCCTATTGGTGGTGTCCTGTTTAGTTTAGAAGAGGTGAGTACAAATGCTCCTAGTTGCTTCATGTTACTGAATCTGGAGATAAGCACAGACCTGATGGGCCATTCAGCTTGTATACAGACTATACATGTACCTAGGCGGGCACTAGAATAATAAGACTGAAATTATTACGATATCCATGCAAGACTAACCCTGCACATTCAAGAGTGGTATTTTTAGGAAAAACCTACATGTATATATCTGCAGTTAGAATTGTAATTTACATACAAAATTGGCATGGATACTTCTTTACAGAAACCACGCAATGTGTTTGAAATTCATACTGTATTAACAAGACATGTCTCGGATGAAACATCATCCATGGTTAGTTTACAAGAATACCAATAGAAAATGAGCAATAAATAGTTCAACGGTGTGTGATGAAAATAAGCATGATAAGTTAAGGATTAAGGTGCAAAACAATACTTTAAAACCAATATTAGCTAACAGTTGGCATTTATTTTGTAATCAGGTTAGTTATTACTTTCCAATGAAGACGTTATGGAGGTCCTTCTTCTGTGCAATGATTGCTGCCTTTACACTGAAGTACATGAATCCCTTTGGGACTGGCCACCTGGTTATGTTTTATGTGGAATACACCAATCCTTGGAAACTCTTTGAACTTCTGCCATTTATTCTACTGGGGGTCTTAGGGGTAAGTCTTGGAAAAGTAAAATGGAAAACTGTCTCAAACTTCAGCCTACTTCAGCTAGGTCTGCGGCCTACTTTAAAAGTTGTTGAAACACTGAATGTATTATAAAAACGTTTGAGAATGTGAATGACAAACAGTGCAATATTTGGTGGCAAAAAAGCTCTAGCAATATCTCCATTGCATATAGGTAGACAGTCCAGGGGACTATACATTGCTTCCCATCCAGAAGGAGTGCATAGATTAATAATAATCAGTAATGATAATAAGACACTTATATGGCGCTGTTTCCCAGTGCTTCAACAGTGCTTCAACAGTGCTTTACAGATTTAAAAATTCACAAAAAATTAACTAAAAACTTTCCAAAACTATCTAAAATTGATTCAAGTTAACAAAAAGTAAAACCATTATGATCATAAAACAATAAAAAATCAGCATCTGAAGTAAGCACTCAAGAAGATGCTTGCAGTTGTTGTTTTTTTCTCACTTTACAAACCACTTGAACCATGAGTAAACTTTTCCGTACTTACTTTGAGTTACTCTTTCTTGTTCTAGGGGCTGATCGGTGCTTTTTTCATCAAAGCTAATTTGTGGTATTGTAAACGCAGGAAAATGTCAAAATTAGGAAAATATCCAATTTTAGAGGTTGGTTAGTCAGAAGTTATTTTCAATCTATTTAATCAAACATTTTTATTTACAGGATGTAAGGATATGGTGTGTCAATGCTTATTCAATTACACTCAAATGTCTCTATGACAACAGGTGAAAGTGGCTGTTATAGAGAGTTGGCTGTTATGGGAAGATAAGGGTGTTATATGACACCTGTTTTTTTTGGGAGGGGTACAACATTTTTGTAAAATGTTGACTGTAGCATAGAAATACCTAACACAATAAAAATATATCAATAAAACAGAAACCAAACAAACAGAGACGAATGGCGCACGGTACAGATCAAGTTTCGTGACCTTTTACACTATAATACAGGGTTTGGCAAACACCATTAGTCATTGTGTAAAGGCTTCAGACTTAATAAATGTAGATGTAGATGAAGCTTTGGATTGAAACGTTTTGCTTGATGTTTTCCTTCAGGTCATACTGGTGACACTTGTTACAGCCTTGCTGGCTTATCCCAATCCATATTCCAGGTGACAGAATATTATTTACGATCATTTATTTATTTGCACTAGAGCAAAAGTATGTCTAATACCCTGTCTCCTATCCTGTCTCACCATTTCCACCCCACACCACCCCAGGGTAGCTAGGGCACAAATTAAAGCTTTCTTAATAACAAAATATTTACATGTAATTGTCATAAAATTAGAAGTAAAGAGCTGGATTAGTTGGTCCGAGACATAAATATACTCACGTGAAACACTGAGTAGCAAGTAAATATCTTGGACCAACTAATCCAGCTCTTTACTTCTATTATTATAAATTGCTCTAGTTTATCTATTGAGCACTCTAATAGCCAATGAGGATTTCTACTTGCTATTTGGTTACATGTATTTGTCAAATATTTTTGTGAGTGAAGTAAGACTGCAGGCTAAAGAATACTACAAATGCACATTTACTGTGCTTGTAGTATTCTAAAGCTTGTAGTTTTATTGCAATACAATCTGGCAACAAAAATGCATTGTGTCTTAACCAAGCCTGTCATGTACCATTCATCATTTCTTTCCTCGCATACTGTTTTTCTCACATACATGTATCAATTAACTTAAAGCTATTCTGTATGAAGAACTTGGAGAGCAGATGTCATAATTCATTTGCCTAATCAGTATATTCTATGTCAATGTCTTTAATGTCATTTTTGCTATGGGAGCGCTTACTGGAAGAGGACGCTTACTAGATAGATTGCACACATTGGGGAGCTCTTACAAGAAAGGGGGTGCTTATTGGAAGGAGCATGCTAAATTGAATCATTATGGTATCAAGCGTTTGATTTGTTTTCACAGACAAAGTAGCAGTGTGTTAATCAAGCACCTGTTCAGTCAGTGTGGTCCAGATGATGCCACAGAGTTATGGTATGACTTAACACGCAATATCTCCTTTGACTACTACATATAGCATGCCATTAGGCAGGCAGGTGATAAGAATAAAGCAGGGCAGGAATAAAATCAGGTCTAACTGCCTGGGGCAAGTCAATTTTGTTCTTGGGCAAGTGAAATTAGCCATTTTCAAGTTACCTTGTGCCTCTCTTTCAAAATGAGTCCTCATGCAAAAACACTCATATGAAAACAAGTTTGATTTGCAAGAAAATGAACCTGTAGGCAGAACTCATTTTCATATGAATGGTTTGCACAAAGACTAATTTTGACACAGAGGCAAAAGGCAACCCGGTACTGGCCTATTAGCCTCAGTAGTCTTGTGAGTCTGAATGAGAACATAGATTAATTTAAAATACAAGCACACCTAGTTCTCAGTTGTCCTCAGATTGCCGTATTGGCAAGTAAAATTGGAGTGGTGGCAGGTGAAAATTGAAATTTGTTGGCCCACTGGGCAAGTAGATTTCAATTGTTTTGCTTCCCTGTAAAGATAATCATTAACTAACATTAATAAACATTTAATTCTTTGAAGCAAGCCTTGAGCTATCCTGGATAGCTGAACTATTGAGACAACTGGGAGCTAGTTTGCTTGATAGCTCATTTGGTAGAGCACTGCACTGGTATCGCAGAGGTCATGGGTTCAAATCTTGTTCAAGGAGAAACATTTTTCAGACTTCAATTTCACAACTGCTTAATATTAAGGTCTACATAACTGCGATGATCAATCATGTCTTCAGACCTTTCTTTCTGACCCTCATATTCTACTAATTAGCATTTTTAAATTTTTGCAGTGACTATGAAACTAGCAACTCCACATTGAATGTTAATGATCCAAACTGGCCTGGGGCCAAGGCAGGGGCCGGAGTGCTTAAAGCAGTTTGGCAGTTGATTCTGGCCATGATTTTCAAAGCTATCATTACAGTGTTCACTTTTGGGATAAAGGTAAGGAAGTCAAGAAAACTATGTCATTAGGTGAATTTAGAGAAATAATAGAACATGCTTCCAGTCATTGAAATGACTCATATTACAAATGAATGTGTACAGTTCCAGTGAAAAATTGTCTCCTGTAGACTCCATATTGAGAACTTTGACCACGTACCATAAAGTTAAACATTGATGTCCAGGTAATTTAAACCAAAAATCAAACACTTCATCTTACCCCGAGATCAGTTGCAAAGAACCATTCAGCATACTTTGGAACTTAAACTGCTTTTCAGCCAAGATTCCCTTTAAATCCAAGATATCTGTCACTGTTTCATAACAAAAGACTACTGAATGAATAATGAATGTCTGAGTTATTCAAATGAATAATGTAATTTTATCTACCAGGTCACCTTTCCTCTACCCTCTTGTGGTAGTTTGTTATTTTATGAATAAAAATTGGAGAATCACTCCTCCAACTTCAGACATGAAACATAGATTTTGCTTGGTAATAAAGTACTTACAGCCACCACTGACATGTAATACATAATATATATGCCTCCAGGTTCCTGCTGGGTTGTTTATTCCAAGCATGGCTATTGGTGCTTGTATGGGAAGAGTTCTTGGTATTGGAATGGAACAACTTGCCTTGTGAGTTAGTCACTCCCAATCACATTATGGAACGGAAAAATTGATAACATAATTCATTCAATTCTGTAACATTGTTGTTAAAGTATTTTTGTTATTTTATTGGCTCAAGAACTCATTTACTGGAAGGCAGGATCAGTTTCATGTATAGTCATGATTTTTTAATTCATTTAATACTGGTAATTAGTGTATTATTCCCGACAATATTATACAACAAACAACAGAGTTTCCATTCACTTGTTGCTAAAAGGTGTATTCCAGAGCCCTTGTCTGTGAATATGATAGGCCTAAGTCAGCCTGGTATTAATTTTGGAAAACACAACATAAATTATTCATAATGGAATAGATGGAATAGATACTGAAACCAAACAGAAAACACTTATAGATTTAAGGTACGGAGAGAGAAAAATTGTACTCAAACCTTCTTTCAACACAGCTTAAAACCACCACCCCAAAGTGAGCTGAGGTCCTCCAGGCCTCTCATTTCTAAAACTATTTCTCTCTCTTCTTATTAGCTACAACCCACACTGGTACATTTTTGAGTCATCATGTGGCAAGTCAATTGCAACCTGCATAACTCCTGGTTTGTATGCAATGGTTGGCGCTGCAGCAGTGCTTGGTGGAGTCACAAAAATGACAGGTGCTCTTTTTTTTTCATTAAACTAAGTCTGCCTTTTCTGTATTAATGACATACACACCCTCCTCCTATTTCCTTAGTTTCCTCTTCTCCTCTCATTGTATTTCCAGGTGGCTTTGCTCCTTTTCCAACGTTCCAGATTTTATTTGTTCCCATCTGAAATTTCTGTATCGTATCATGAGTATGAATTTCAAAACACAAAGCTAAAATCTGCTTATTCAAACAAAGTTATATCTTCTTGTCTATGATGGCCCTTTAATTCTGAAGGGTGATCAAAATCTTAGTTCCCTTTGCATAAACAAACCATTGACAACGACGAAGGTGATGACAAAAAAGAAAATCATCCCATTGATGTGCCACCAAATTCTCAGATGTTACGTTAAAAAAAATACAGGACAGACTTCAACATTTTTGTTTTTGTACTCTTCTTTGTTGATTTTTTTTGTAATATTTTGTTACTTTGTTTTTCTTGCAGTCTCGCTTGTTGTGATTATGTTTGAGTTGACAGGAGGACTGATGTACATAGTTCCTCTAATGGTAGCCGTCATGATGAGTAAATGGGTTGGAGATGCGTTTGTAAAGGAAGGAATGTATCCTAGCACTGTTAGTAACAGTTGATGCTAAAAGTACAGTTCAGTGCAAAAACTCATCGTGGTTTCCATGGTGTATTGAGCTTCCCCTCCCCCCAATATGATGTTATCCATCACAGGATATTCCCCTCCAGGATTTTGTCAGGTTCTCTACTAGATCACAGGCTGGTACTTAATCCATTTGGAGCAGTTTTCCCTTGAGTGTCAAAAGTAATTGACACATTTGTGTCCTGTTAGGCCACTAGGCTCGAACACAGACTTTACGTGTACCGTCATGAATTCCTTGACTCTTTTCAAAGTTATGATGGCCATATACATCTCAATGGTTACCCATTCCTGGACAGCAAAGAAGAATTCACTCACACAACACTAGCAGCAGATGTCATGAGACCTAGGTAAACATGTTTACAAATTACACAAAGTCATGCAGTAAAGCAGGTGAAACAATCTTAGAAAATCATGCAAGGCAGCAATGTAGGGATCCACTGATATGGTCCTGTAGAAAACAGTTAATGAAAACTGAAAGTTGACATGGGTGGGGCCAGAAGAGTTGACATATGCCAGGCAGGAAAATGGTCGTCTGACTCCACAAATGTTAGCCTCCTGGGCAGACATTCCTTTTGGTTGTCTTGTATTCCACTTTCATTAACAAACTTCATGAGGGTAAAAATGATTGCTTGACAAGGCAAGAAACAGTTTATGCATAGGGGGCTACAGAGCTGCAGAGCTATTTATTTATTTAGTACGATATTTACTAACAGATATTAGAAAATGTTCAAGGAATTGTGCATACTGCAATATTGTTGGTTAATTGGAGTCCTTGATAATGCATGTGAATTGCACTGTATCTTTAAATAAGTTAACACTTCAGTGTTTTAACTATTGCATATGCCATTGTGAGACTATTGTTTTATTATTGATTTTGCAGAAAAAATGACCCTCCATTGTCATGCATAACACAAGACAGCTTTACTGTTGGAGAACTAGAACAACTTCTTGAAGAAACAGACTTCAAGGGCTTCCCAGTGATTGTAGATAACGAATCTCAAAGACTTGCAGGGTTTGTCTTAAGGAGAGATCTAAACATTGCCATTAGTAAGTGCACATTAGTTTCAGCTTGTATTCAATCTTTTACAGTGTGCAGATTGACAGGTTGAGAACAATTTGGGTATTATTACCAAAAGAGGACCTGTTAAATCAGGGCTTGATTTTTCAAGGCATGAATAAGATTTCTGGATTCAATAACTAATCTTATAAAGTTATGGTTATCATCCTTAGGGTTTCTTTAATTCCTTGTCCATTTTTTCCATTTATTCCACATTTTTCATGATCCACATCTTTCATCACCTCAGTTTCTATTGTGTTATCATACACCGCAGTGCTCACTCGTAATTTCAGTTAGTTCAGCGGGCCTGTTAAAGTATGAGGGTTACCAGTAATCATAGTTAAACGATGTACACCAGTCAGTTTTAGCCTCAGTCCTTTTTCTGCCACCTTTCTTTAGGAACTACTCCTTGACAAAACAACTAAACCATACCGTGTAAAGCTAACAACATTTACTGTAAATCCTTGAATAAGCGCCCCTCCTATCGGCCAAAATTTAAAATAAGCGTCCCCCCTCTCAAATAAGTGCCCCGCCTCCCCTCCCCCCATTTTGTGGACAAGTAATGAGACAGCAAAGGATGCATAGTTTTTGTCGTGTAGTATTAGATTTGTGCATTGTTTCAGTTTGTGAACATGTTAAGTTTGGAAAAAATTACAAGTACTAATGGTGCTGTGATTTAAAGTTTAGGATCAGCTTTTTATGTCAATAAACAGCTTATGTTGTTGTTTACGCGCAGATGATGTATTTTAAATGATCATGACAGCCATGATTTGGGAAAAATTAAATAAGCACCCCCCCCTCCCCTCGAATAAGCACCCCTGTCTTCTCCTAAATTTGAAATAAGCGCCCCAGGCACTAATTCGAGGATTTACGGTATTCTTTTCTTGGTAGTTGACTTTGTAATGATAATGGGGTAATAAAACTCTTTGTTGCTTTCTTTATTTACAGTAAATAGAAATAATTATTCTTTTATTAGTTACGGTGTTAATATTTTGTCCTGCATACATAGGTCATGCAAGGGCGCGTGATGAAGAAGTGGTGTCGGCGTCACAGGTTTACTTCTTACCCAATCCCCCAAGGTACCACCCGCCTGGTCAGCCACCTGCTTTGAGCCTTAGACATATTGTGGACCAGGTGAGAAAACTATCACTTTCAAAATGTTAGGGTCTCCGTAGCTTAGTTGTAAGGTTGGTGAGCTTGAATGGTCCAAATCTCAGTCTCTAGTTCAACTCTGGCCATTAAGCCTTCCTTTTTCCTTATGTCTGATTCAGTCAATGTTATACCACCTTTATTGTGTTTGATTATGTTGGAGAGTTGTGACTGTGATGCACAGAACTAAATTGCTGACATCTATGGGGTCAGCTTAGGCAGGTTTTGTACTAAACTTAGTAAGGTCAACCTGTCTCGCCTGGCCTACATATCAGCTTGTGGTATTGAAAAATGTCTAACTGAACTTTTCCACTGTTGTGATGATCAATTGTATATTTTCTCCATAATGCACACCTTTTCCCTCAAAGTTAGCAGAAATGACTAATTTACATGTTTTGTAATAATTTTGGGACATTTATTTTATGATGTTAATTAAAAGTGACTATTGTCAGTATTCAATTCTGTACACATTCTACAAATCGTGAAGCACATGTTTGATTCATTGTGTGATGTGTAATTGGTGTAATTCAGAGCCCAATACAAATCACTGACGCTACGCCCATGGAAACAGTAGTGGAAATGTTCCGCAAAGTTGGGCTGAGACAGACACTTGTTACACACAATGGGTAAGTTTAAAATCGTTCAATACAGTAAAAACCTGCATTTAAGAACCTAGTGGTTTAGGAACCTGCTGGCAGAAATTTTCCATTTGAATACCCAAAATTTGAGAACCTGTTTAGCCAAGCAAGATCAGGCAGGTTCTTATATGTATGTGGGTTACAGTTAATTATTATTCTAAACATTTTAAACTAGGAGTGTGACTCTGAGATTGTAAATTTACATTAAAAGAAAATACATAATACAGTTGTGAATGAATACTGTATATTTAAGGATCAAAAGGGTGAAATTAAAAACCTAATAACCCTATTGAGAGCCTACTTAGCATAAATTGTCAATAACTACCCCAAAATACAAGAACCTATTTTGTCAGACTTCAAAAATGGTAGGTTGTTACATGAATGCAGATTTTTCTGTATTTACATTTCAAGTTTGTAATAGTCAAGTGAATGTCATGTTTGTAGCATGC